AAATTTCGTTGAGATATCTCAAATATTGCTATCGTGTACACAGACGGACGGACAGACGGACGGACAGACAGACATGGCATTTCTGTATTAATACTGAGCATTTATGTATACATTTGCCTATATCTATCTCGATTCGTTTTGGCTGTTACAAACAACCGTTATGTGAACAAAATTAATATACCCTTGTGCACAAGTGCGCTCGGGTATAAAAATGTGATATAAAATAAAGCAAATGAAAATATATAAACCAAACAGGGGCGAACGCAGAAATTTTTTTCGGGAGGGGTTTTAAAATTATTATTATTTTTTTTTTCATTTAATCAGTTGCACCAAATATGCGTTTCGGTAGTACAAAATGTCTATATTTTTTTCAATAAATTCGAGTTATTACATATGTATGCATGAAAAATGTGAAATATCATTTCTCTACTGCTTCGACTTAAAAGAAAATATTGTAATCAATATTTCTTTATTCGCAACTTCTATATTTCTGTGGTTGCTAAGTAAAGCTTAATCAGCTAATCTTTGTTCCCCAGTTTTACTTCGTAAATATGGTTCAAGCTTAAGAAGGAGCATTCACTGGAAATAAGTGTCACAGGAAGTGTTGGCCCTATCTGCAAGAATCGGTATACCTTTAGGTACAGTGATTGATTGCAAACATCAGGAGCGTCTAGGAATGGTGTTGGACTATGCTCCGTAGGTACATTGAAAAAATGCCTGTAAAGAAACATAATAAGGGTATACATCAAACCTTATAAACCGTATAAAATTATAATTGTGTAAACTTTGGAAATCAACTGTCAAAATTTGTATGGAAACTCGTTTACACATTTCAAATAAATTTCTACAACGATATCACTGAATAATCTTGATAACCTGAAGACAATGGCCCGTAGTCATAGTCAAAATAAAGTCGACTTTAAAGTTAGTTGCAGCTTTTTTGACAGATATCCCATTGAAAATTATGTCAAAAAGCTGCAACTAACTTTAAAGTCGACTTTATTTTGACTATGACTACGGGCCATTGTAACTCTGTCGCAAGTGTATACAAAAAAGAGTATGTAATGTATGTATGTAATAGTAACAGAGCTCTTAAATTTATAAGAATATCTGCTTGATAAAGCTATCGGTTTAGATGAATACCGCTAATATTAATTTAAATATTAGCATGGCATTTGAATTTAAATGTAGAAAATTACCTTTGACACATTTTAACACATGATAATTGAAATGTCAAATTACGTTTAGTCGAAGGCGGAAATGTAAAAGCAGCATCCGGTGCCCACGGACATTCAAGGAGCTCATAATTCTCGTTATCGCTTAGTTNCACATGATAATTGAAATGTCAAATTACGTTTAGTCGTAGGCGGAAATGTAAAAGCAGCATTCGGTGCCCACGGACATTCAAGGAGCTCATAATTCTCGTTATCGCTTAGTTTACGGTGACCAAAATTTGACGCATCATTAAGCGGAACCTGCAAGGACGTGGATATATAAATTCGGTCGCAGAGAACTTAAAACTTGATTTTCGTGACGCAGAGGGTTGTGAAATTACCGGCATATTGAAAACAATGAGGGTGTTGATTTTTTAAACTTAG